CCCCCAAAAAAAAACCGACCCTGTAGCGCTAGCGCTTCGCGTTCTTTCTATTCCATCCCATTCCATTCGAGGATAGGCGGCTAATACTAAAATAATAAATGGAGTAGTTATCGTCTGACCAATCAGCTCGGATTTCAAACAGTCGGTTTTGAATTTTGTTCTCACAGTACCGATGGATTTCCATCGGCAATTTAATATATAATCTTATACATAATTATTTTGTATTTTTTTATTACACAATAGCGAGGGAGGCCGTCGGTAAGTCCCTCGGTAAGTATTCACTTAATTATCTTTTGATTAGCCTATTTATTAAAAATTACACTAAGTGGAACTGTATTCGTGGTAATTATACTACTTAAAAATATATTAGTGGTAATTAGCTTAGTGATTTATAATTACACAAAGTAAAAGTGAATTTGTAATATCCTTAACTACATTGATTAACCTATACATTAATAATTACACACCAAGAAGAAGTGTATTAGTCATTTCCGTAAGAAATATTAGTGATGGTTTATCTTATAAATTGATAATTACTATAAGTAGAGGTGTATTAACGGTATCCTTAAGTAACGTTAACAATTGATTATCATACCCATTGATAATATACTTAGTAAAAGTGTAGTAGTCGTAGTTAGATTGTAGATTGATAATTACACGAAGTATAAGTATATTAATAATATATCTGTAGGTAATGTTAGTGATTAATTAGCCTATATACATTGATAATAGCACTAAGTATTAGTGAACTAGTGGCATCCTTATATAAGTAACGTTAGTAATTGATTAGCCTAAATTGATAATAATACACTAAATGAAAGTGTATTAATGCTATTTGTGAGAAATGTTAGTGATTATTTATCTTTAAATTGATAATTAAAGTAAGTAGAGGTTTACTACCGATATCGTTAAGTAATGCTAATAATTGATTAGCCTCTATATTGATAATTACACTAAGTAGAAGTGTAATAGTTATAATTAGCTTATAGATTGATAATTACACTTGGTAGAAGTGTACTAAAAATATATCCTTAAGTAATGTTAGTGATTCACTAGCTTATACATTGATAATTACACACTAGGTAGAAGTTTATTAATGATATGCGGGACAAATGTTGGTGATTGTTTAATTATCTTAAATTGACAACTAAAGATAATAAAACTATATTAGCAATATCGCTAATCAATTGTAATAATTTATAAGGCACTTCATTGATAATTACATTGAGTATAGAAGTGTAATAGTTACAATTAGCTTATAGATATTGATAATTACATTAAGGAGAGGTGCACGTATTAAGGATATCCTTAAGTAATATTAGTGATTCACTAGCCTATACATTGTTAATTGTACACTAATTAGAAGTTTATTAATGGTAGACGTGAAAAATCTTAGTGATTATTTAAATATCTTAAATTGATAACTAAAGTAAGTAGAAATATATTAGTGGCATCGTTAATTAATATTAATAATTGATTAGCTAATTCATAGAAAATTACCTCCGTGCCACTTACCGACAGACATCCCTCAGTAATGTCGGAAAACAGCTACTCCCTCCGTTTCATATTAGATGACGTAGTTTGACTCGGCACAGAGTTTAAGAAAAAAGAAGAAGACTTTTGAAACTTGTGGTCTTAAAAGCTTAAGGGGTAAAAAGTTTGTGGGGCCATGACATTTGTGTGGCTATAAAAGCTTCTCATTAAGGGTAAATGGGCAAAAAATGAAAGAGTTTAAAGTTGAATTATTTCCAAATTTAGAAATGTGTCATTTGTTTTGGAACAGACTAAAAAGGAAAGTACCTCATTTAATATGAAACGGAGAGAGTATTTTTTAGTAGTGATATATATAATCCGAAAATATTTTGTTTTGGTAACTATCAAATTTCATTAATTACCAAGTAAAATATTTACAAAGCAGCTAGACAACATACTCAGTCTGCTATTCATACTTTCTATACGATCTACACTTCATTACATAGAGACACTAGCCTATACATTTTAACTACTGACATTGTCAACTAATTGAAAATCTAATATTCAGCAGTCTTTGAAGGTCTTCATCAGCACGAACATGACAAATATAGGCTATCTCTCTAGCTTTAGTATCACTTGCTTTCTCTTTCTTCATGAAAACTCTAGTATTTCTTTCTATCCATATAGCATAGATGAACTCTATATATATCATTTTCACTATCTTTGCTTGTTTTGTCTTTCCTTTTGTTCTCTGCTCTATCCATTTCTGCATTTCTCCCCCTGTCTTCACTGCTTGCCAGTCAATTTGGATCCATCTCATTAGTTTACTCCAAATTCTGTTACTAACTTCACATTCAGCAAATAAATGATCTTTTGTCTCCTCTGCTTGCTTGCACATATGACATGTTGTATCTATTTGTAGCCCCCAGCTTTGAAGTCTTGTTGCTGTAAGTAGTCTGTCTTGGAGTTGAAGCCATGTAATGAAGATTTCGTTTGGCTTGGCTATATTTCCACACATTAAGTTCTTCCATGTCACTTTTGGCAATTGTCCTATCATACTCAGATATATACTCCTAATCTTGCTCTTGTTTCCTGATATCTGATGTTCAGCATTTCCCATATCCTCTTGTGCGTTGAATATTTTCTTCACCATCCAACTCCCTTGTTGAGGAATGGCCATATCAGTTATCTTCTTTCCCTTTATATAATATTCATGTATCCACTTGATCCAAAGAATATCCTTCTTGCTGTGTAGTTCCCAACATGTTTTAGCTATTGCTGCTTTATTCCATACTTTCAGATTTGTGAGATTAGGTCCTCCAGCTGTCTTTGGCATACACATTCTGCTCCAAGCTACCAGTGCTTTTCTAGTTAGCTCATTTGATCCTGTCCAAATGTAGTTTCTGCAGTAAGCTTCAATGGTTTCATCACTTTAGCAGGTATTATGAATAGTTGGGCCCAATATAATTGAACCCAAATAATATAGTTTTCACCAATTGTACACGACCACCATATGACAACTTCTTTTCTACCCATGAGGTCACTTTTGCAATGACTTTTGATATTAATGATTGCCATTCCAGTATCTTAAGTTTTCTTGTAGCCAATGGAATCCCTAAATATCTGAAAGGTAACTCCCCTTGTCCATATCCCAGCAACTGTAGAATATCTTGTTTGATGTGGTCTGCTACTCCTCCAAAATACACTGCACTCTTTGACATATTTGCTTTCAGTCATGAAGCTTCTGTGAAGTGGCCAAATTTCATGTGTAGCAAACCCACAGATGTAGTATCTCCTTTTGAAAACATTAGAAGATTATCCGCAAAACTCAAATGAGTAATAGTCAGTTTAGAGCACTTCGGATGGAACTTGAATTGCTTCTCATCTTTCAATTCATTCAGATTTCTACTTAAGTATTCCATGACTATAGCAAAAAAAAAGGGTGACATTGGATCCACTTGTCTGAGCCCTCTTGCAGCATCAAATGGCTTAGTTGGTTCCCCATTAATTACTATAGAGTAATTAACTGTAGAAACACATTCCATCACCCAATTACTAAACCTTGAAGGGAAGTTTAGATCCTCTAACATCTGCTTCAAGAACCTCCAGTCTACTGTATCATAAGCTTTTTGAATATCGTCTTTAATCATACATCTTGGTGATATATGTTTCCTTGTATATGCTTGCACCAATTCATGTGCCAGGATCACATTATCTGCCATTTTTCTCCCAGGTATGAATCCAGATTGTGTTTCTGTAATGATACTTGAAATAACCTTCTGAATTCTTCCTGCTAAAATCTTGGCAATGATTTTGTAGAGGACTGTGCAACAAACAACGGGCCTATATTCTCTGACTGTAGCAGGGTTAGCTACTTTTGGTATTAAAGTTACTGCTGTGCAATTGATACCTCTAAACATATTCCCTCTGCTAAAGAACTCCTTCACTGCATCTATGACTTCATTAACAACTGTCCATGCTTTTTTGTAGAAAAATGCATTATAACCATCCACTCCTGGGGCTTTATCATCTCCTATAGAGCATAAACCATCATAAATTTCTTGTTCAGTTACTGTTTCACAAAGCTGGACTTGTTGATCATGATTCAGTTTTCTACCATTCCTCATAGTCTTCTTATTTACTGTTGTAACATTTGGTATTGCTGTACCTATAAGGGATTTATAAAACTTTAGGATCTCATTCTTTATATCTGTTGGATCAGTTAGCTTTCTTCCATCAAGAGAATCTATTTCAGTGATTTGCTTCTTTTGCTTCCTTTCTTTCATAACTGCTGAGAAATAGCTAGTGTTAGAATCCCCAAGTTTAATCCACATTGCCCTAGCCTTTTGTTGCATGATGCTTTCTTCAATCAAGGACCATTTTTCAAGTTGGCCTATAATGTTCCTTTCTTCTATTGCTAGCATATTTGAGTATTGTGATCTTATTTTGCTTTGAACCTCTTTTAAATCTTCCCTTACTTGCTCAATCTTCTGAGTAATACCTTTGAACTCAGTTTCATTCAACAATTTCAGCTTTCCTCTTAGATCGTTCTGCTTCATCCATATGTTTGTCATTGTATTTGAATGTAGCTTCTGATTCCAGCACTCCTTCACCATATTAGGAAATCTCTCATGTGATGCCCAAACATTAAAGAATTTGAATGATGGTTTGATCTTTGGTTCCCTCAGATTAGTATGAATCATCATAGGTGTGTAATCTGATATGTGAGGTAGTTTGTACTCAGTGGTGAGATGTCCAAACTGCATCATCCAGTATGAATTTCCCAAAGCTCTATCAATTCTGCTCCAAATTCTATCTCCACCTTGTTGTTTATTTGTCCATGTGTAATAATCACCCTTCCATGGTAGCTCATCTAGCATCAGATTTTGCACACATTCATTGAAATCCTTTATTTCCAAGCTAGTAACTGTTGTCCCATATATTCTATCTTGTGGGCACAATATTGAGTTAAAGTCACCCCAGATAATCCTTGCTTTATTTACCTGCTGTGATATTTTTGCATGTTGCTGCCACATCTCCTTTCTTTTCTCTACTGTATTGTATCCATATACCATTGTCATATCACAATCAATGGCTTGGTTTTTACTGGTTACATTACAATGCACTAGCTGAGCTGTTTGCTGGATCATTTTAATCTGGTATATTGCACTATCCCAGAGTAGCCAAATCCTACCATTTACTGCACTTGCATAATTATTTAACAATTCCCATCCAGGTGCTATCTTTTTACTGATTTTGACTGTATTTTGCTCTTTTACTCTTGTTTCCACTAATCCTGCCAGTTTTACTTTATTTCTCTTTAAGGTACTTAACCATTTCTTTCTGTTTGTACCTTTTATTTAACCCCCTCACATTTCATGCTAACCAAGACATTATTGATGAATTATGAAACCCCCTCCTAAATCAGAAGGGAGTAGAAGTGCCATCACAACTTCATCTTGTTGCAATATTTGAAATTCATTTCTCACAGGTATAGTAGCTTCAACTATCTGATTCACAGGTCTACCATTCATTTCTTTGGCCGCTTTCCCTTTCAGCAGCTGTTTCTCTTTGACTTGAAGTTCTATCTCTGTAGTTACCATTGTTTCTGCTCCTTGCTGCACTTGTTCAGGTATCCCACCAGAACTAGTACCCTGCTGGTCTTCATTAATGTTGATTTGTTTGTGATTATCCACCTTCAGAATCCAAGTTTGAACCATTCTTTGAGGCCTGTTCTTCTTCTCAATTGGTCTGATTTGCTTATGTTCCTTTGCCTTAAAATTGTCTCTTCTTTGTCTCTCACAATTATGCCCTATCATTAGGCATTTTATGCAATATTCAGGCTTCCATTCAAATATCACCCCCTGCTGAAATATTTTCCCTGAGGGATCCATTACCGTTAGTTCAGTTAGCAATTCCTTGGTGACATTGACTTCATTCAGCATACGAGCAAAAGATATCCTCATCTGTTTTGCTGTACACTCATCAGCATACCTAGAAACACCGATACCACTGGCTATCCTACTCAATGAGTCCCTACTCCAACAGCTCATGGGTAGATTTCGAAGTTTAACCCATAATGGCAACTCTGTATGGAATTCTGCATTGAAATCAAAGTCTGGAGTCCATTGTTTTAGAATCATGGGTCTGTTGTTAATACTATAGGGCCCTGCATACATTATTTCATTCATGTCTTCTATGCTTTTGAATTTAACAACATAGTAACCCTCCTCATGATAGTAGATCTCTGGTTCCGTTACAGTATTCCAGTTTTGTTGAATATACCTACTCATGAAGTTATAGTCCGGAGCATCTCCCACTACATACACAACTATAGCCGCCTTCCATTTTTCAATTTCCTTTTCTGTTTCTCCTTTATCCAGCTTCACAATTACTGTGCCCTCAACTAACTCTGGAGGAATGTAATCAAGTGACATACCATTTGCTGCAGCACGATTTCGATTGAATAGCCCGGACCAGTTAGATGCTTGTGGTTTCAGTGTAGATCCTGCATTCTCTTTCCCTCCTTCAACGGTGCTTACGCCTCCTATTGATTTGTCATTTCTAGTCGCTTGCGTCTTCTCGTCACCACTGAGGTTCAATTGCTTAATTCCCGTGTTCAATTTCACCATCGATGCTAATGGTGATAGCACCGGAAACTGGGTTGCTATTGGCGTAGAAATTCTCTGTTCCCCTCTATTTTCTAGTGTTTCAGCAATTACTCTTGCACTTACTGAGCTTCCTACGGTCACAATCGGTTGTTTCTTCGGTCTTCCTCGTCCTCTAGCCATGGCTACCACCGCCGACGTATGTTTACTTAACGTGCGCCGAAAGCTCTAGTCTAGAGAGAGAAAATCAATAGTCCGGAAATATTGATAACGAAGAATGAGTTCCACTGCAAAATACTTGCATATGTACTTGTTTATTTACACCTTGAGGACTAGATGAAGATTGTTGAGTGAAATCAATAATAAAAAAAATTAGCTACACGGGTAGATACCAGGAAAAAAATTATCCTTTTCTTTTTCTTGCTTCCATTATTTTATTTTTATTTTTGTACAACAAAGGATACTGAGCTCATAATCTGATATTCTCTTGGTTTTATAATAAAACTACTAACCATACACCTGATATTGATCCATGGACTGGTCATGAGCATAGCCTTCTAATAGCTTGGTTTTATAATAAAAAACTACTAACCATACACCTGATAAGTATATTTTTTCTCAAAAGTGCTTTTGGAAAGAAGTTATTTTTTCTGCATTTTCAAAACTGCTTTTGCTTCAACTCAAAAGCACTTTTTTTTTCTTCTAAAAATTTGGCCAAACACTTCAACTTTGAGAAAAAAGTACTTTTGGCTTTGAAGGAGCTTGGCCAAACGGACTATAAAACTGGTTAAATAAATGGGTGGTAACTAAACTTGTCTAATGTTATAAATACAATTATATTTATGGTGAATGTCTATATTTAGAGAGATTCTAGGGTTCATTGCTTGGTGGCTAAGCCACCCTCTCCCTATAAATAGAGGGTTCTATTCCATTGTAATTCATCCCAAATCAATAAGAATTCTCTCCCTCTACTTTTCTCTGCAATACTCTTCTTCTTCTTTTATTGTTTTATAACACGTTATCAGCACGAGACTCTAACCAATTGAGTAGAAGATTCGGGATTGAGCATAATAATTGTCAATTATTCCATGAACTTCCTTCATGATTAAATTCTGGATTTAAAGTAAGTATTTTACCGTATTTTTCTCTTTTATTCTATACTTTGATTTTAAATACAAGCAAAGACAACATAGTTTGATTATAACTCTAATGGAGTTTGTAAGAAATTATAACCACCTAAGTGGTAAAAGTTTCTATGTCTTGCCATGATCAAATTCATGTATGATTATGGGCACAAAAAGTGGAAACCCGTCCATTGAATTTGCTCCATTCTCATTCCCTTAAGAGAATGTGATAGCAGTATGTGATAAGTCTGAAAGAAGACAAAATTATCACTATGAATGTATCAATGGATGTGGACGTGGCAATCGACGAAATTATAATCGTCATCATTGTGATAATGAGAATAATAAGGATTCTCAAAATAATCCCCCACTTGTGAAAATACTTGTCATCGATTTTGACATGAGATTTTATAAAGCACATATAGATGATTATGGTCTATTCACGATGTGAATGTGATAACATCTGATTTATGAATATATATTCATTCT